TTAAAGCCGAAGCAGTTAAATAAAAACATCTAGACAATCAAAGCAGAATTTATTATGTTAAGAAAAAAAACTTAGGCTAAAAGTTCTACAAAAATCCTATCTGAAAAGCATTGATGATTAAACAAAATATTACCTTCATAATGATGTTATTATATTTTCCAAAAAGACATATGGCTACAAAGAATATCAAGCAATAAAACATCAGTGAGCAGTCAGTCAAAACTTTTAGTCAGTTTTTCATCAACTTTCACATTCAATTTGATAGTACCCTTTGTTCAAAAGAGGTTTTAAAATATTGATCTACATTCCCAGGTGACATGAAACCCTCTTAAATGTATTAAAATCTTATAAGACAATAGTTTTATAAAACAAAAATCATTTTGTTTATGGATTATAGCCCATTTAAATCAACAATTCCAAAGTGGTTAAACAAGTAGATTTTTTAAATGTCCTGCCTAAATAAAGTAATAGGAAATTACAAAACTAAGAGAAATGTAATTTTCAATTGATATAAGCTATCCCACCAATAATGAAAATAAGACTTCTGATTGCAGGCAATTTGGTTATGAAGTGTCATAATCTCATAACAGAACTTATATATACAATTGGTTCTATTCTTGCTTCTTTAATTCTAACAGAATCTGAAAGTAAAGGGACAGTTTGAAAAAACAGCACAAACCTGCCTAGCTGATCAGGAGAACTAGATATGAAAATGACTGCTTTAGTTTAACAATACAAACAGCAAAGACAGAGGAAATCTACCCAGAACTGAAGGACACAATCAAGAGGTATTTTGATGCCAAGACTGAAAAACGGAGACCCAAACCATGCAAATCCCAAAAAGGTTTACCTTCAAAATTGAATTCAGAGTGAGTCACGTCCATCTTAGTGACCGCTTGTTTATAAGAACAGATATAGTAAGAAGAGAGAATGATAAAGGTGCCTAACTGGACTTAGATATTCATATTTTTAAAATTTTTTAAAAATTTCTCTAGGATGATCCATCTATTATCAACCACTTTGATATTTACATCTCTAATAACTAAGTCTAAACTCAGATTAAAGTCTGAAACTCAAGTAAAAGTGGTCTCCTTGTCAAGTATCTTGACCACCAAACAGCAATTACCTGAATTTTAGAATTACTTCACAGTGCAGGCCAACTTCAGGACCTGAAAAACTAGTCATTAAGTGATGACAACTGTCATATTAAAATACAACTCAAAATTATCTATATAGTCTATTAATATAAACTAGTATACTTTCCAGTTTCTAAACCAAGTCCTAAACCAGTTATCAATATCATTCAAAGTTAACTAAACTCCAAAAGAGCTCAACTCCACATCCAAGGTTTTTAATTATGACTTTGTGAACATTTTCATAAATATGTCAACTGCCTAAATTTTTAACTAGAAAACACCTTTCCCTTTATAGATCAGATTAAGGATCTGTCATCGTTTTCCCCAATATTATATTACTAATACACTAATATAAAACAAGGTCATCAGTGCAAACATTAACTCCAGAAGAAGTTAATGTTTCCTCTCCTTCTAAAGGAAGCTATCAGATTCTGATTCTTGTCTGCTTAAAACTGTAATCAACTCTTTAAGAAAACTTAAATGTCCCCATGAATCTTTTCTTGAAATAGCGACACAATCCCCGAACCCTGACTTGAGATGACCATTCCTTTCCTGTGCTCCTGTGTAGCACACAGAACATCCCTCCTGTATAACATTAGTCACATACTATTACAGTTATTTATCACATGTCACTGGACCTGAGCTTCATAAAACAAAAGGACTCTTACCATCATCTTCACACTTAGCATAAATATTCAAATGCTAGGCCAATAAAATCCTAGTTAAATAAATCAATGAAAACCAAAAAAAAAAAAAAAAAAAAAAGTGCTTTGAATGGGAGGGGTACATTTGTTCTAAGTTGGCTAGGGAAGGGAGAAGTGAATTTAACATATCCATATGGAGACTGTGATTAGTGAAATCAGTATGTGACCATGAAGCTAGGATCCTAAGATTTTACAACTTCACTGAGTTCAGCCAGAATTTCATTAACAGCATGTACATATATGACCTATCCTTGGAGGATCCTAAAAGAACAACCTCAAATTCCCATTCTTTCCCCTCTAGCAGCACCGATTTACTTTCCAGGGACAAAGGCCCTCCACCTACCCCTAACCCACCAGATCCAATTAGAGCAATGTTGATGAGAGCCGTCAACTTTTTACTTACTGGGGCACTGCTGTTCCCACAAGGCACTGGAGCCCTACTCTGCCAAGTCCACACACTGATAATCAAAGGAGGCATATGTGCAAGGAAGAGGCACCAGAAATTATCTCTGTTAAACATAACAGCACTTAAAATATGAAAACACAGAATCAATGTTTAGTCATTGCAGTTGGTCAGAAGAACGTAAACTTCCTTTATAATGTTGCTTAATAACAAACTGTTCTGAATTCTAAATAATGACCTTAAAAAGTAAACTTTTAGACTCCAATTCCTACATCAAGGACTACCTATGACTTTGGAATACCATTAAACTGCTGCTCAACAACTGTGATGCTTCAAATCAATTCTCATGTGATGAGAATGTAAACTTACTAAATCTAATAACTATATAAAGTTTTCAGTGAAATTCTATGATGATAAACACACATACCCCCACTCCCAAGCTCCACCCACTCTCAATCTAGAAATGAAAGTTAGACATTACAATTCACTTAAAGAAAACTTGCCAAACAAGAAAAAAAAGTTTTAAGACAATAAACACACACATCCCCGCTCCCAAGCTCCACCCACTCTCAACCTAGAAATGAAAGTTAAATAATTACATTTCACTTAACGAAAACTTGCCAAAGGAGAAAAAAAAGTCTGCCACATTAGCGATTAATAGGCTGTATAGTGTTTGGTTTAGCCTCCAAAAGTGTCTCCAATGTGGCTACAAGAGGCAGGTGGGTTGGGAAGGAGGAGAGAAGTTCTACAACAGATCTCATCCTCAGACAGCTAACTATGCACAGGGGCACTGACATCTTCCACTAGTGACTGTGTTACACAGGCAGACCTCCTGCCAGAAGCAGGCCTCCGCAGGGGTAGATAAGGCAGACAGGCTTCCCACTCCCATCTCAAGTACTTTTTTAAAAAACAAAGCGTTAGAAAAGTGATAAATTGGTCTATACATTGCAGACTAAGTCCCTTTTGGTTTAATAGTACAATATAAAGCTCTTACCTATGTACATACCAGAGCAAATATTTGTTATGAACAGTATTAAGGAAGTCTATGACTTTCAACTGACTATTCTAAAAATCTACTTTCCATTTCAAAAATGTTTAATCATACGCAACAGGAATTCTTTTAAATCAAGACATATTCAAACAAATTGTTACTCCCTGTGTAAATCTTAACTTTCAAACAAAAGATGTGAATAAATAGAAGCTCTAACTAGCTTGTTTCAAGTATCTAAATTCCTCAGGGGTTTTTTCCTCTCCAAAAATATTTGTATCACAAAGTACTGATAAACACAGCTAACGCCAACTAAGAATTGCTTTTCTACACCTCCTGTTTTTGCAATAACCGCCCTATTTCTGTGGTTCCTCTGCAAGTCTAAAAGCCTAACTAAATTTAATACTACAACACTGAAACAGTCTTCATAAGTATCGTAATATAGACCAAGTGTCTTCCTTACTTAGGTGCATAAAACAAGTGTTAAGCGTAGAAAGCATAGTTACCTTCCAACGGATCCATGCTTAAATGTGCCTGATGCCAAAAGTATTTCCCACCCTAAAATCCAATCCTCTTCATTTAAACAAAAGTTTTAATAATTAAACACTAGTTATTCAAGAATAAAAAATGTATACAATGGAGAATGTGAAAGCCTCACTTTCATATACAGTATTCTACACGACAGTACACTTATGTTCTCAACTATTCCAAGACTCTTTGATTACCAACTACGTCCTTTCAAATCTGACTTTGGGGACAGATGGAGCCGTACTATCTATGTTTTATTATCTTTGCAATATCCAAATATGATATAGAATGGAACACTGAGTGGAAAAGCCATATGAGAAGAATAAAAGGATGCACCATATGATGGCGGGGTGGAGGGCAGTCCTCTTTTCAATTAATGTCCATGTATCCTCCACAGGAGAAAAATGTGAAAGGGGTGCTGGTGAAAGCGAATCTACAACTTAAAATTCTTTGCTCCTTGAATCATATATAGTAATCCTGAAAGTATAATTTTTATAGGGACCACGTACTTATTTCCAGGAAAAAAAAAAAATTATCTTAAACTTCTGTTCAAATTTCTGGCCCAAGTGCTGAAAGTAAAAGGGAATTTTAGTCTAATAAGCAATAAAAGTTCTGATACGGGTTGTAGTGCTTTTATCTTTTTTAAAAAACAAAGAAAGGATACATCTTACATTCGCGAATTAGGTTGATGACTTTAAGTCCAAGGAAAATGGTCCCTTTTCCAGGCCTGCCAATTCTTTTTGAGACAGAGTTTCCGGCTCTGTCACCCAGGCTGGAGTGCAGTGGTGAGATCTCTGCTCACGCAACCTCCACCTCCCGGCTTCAAGCAATTCTCCTGCCTCAGCCTCTGGGATTATAGGCACACACCACTACGCCCCGCTAATTTTTGTATTTTTAGTAGAAACAGGGTTTCACCATGTTGATCAGGCTGGTCTCCAACTCCTGATACCATGATCCGCCCGCCTCAGCCTCCCAAAGTGCTGGGATTACAGGGGTGAGCCACCACGCTTGGCTTTCCCCGCCAATTCTTTAAGTCTCTTGATATTTCTGTATCCTCTTACTAATTAACTGAAAATATTAACGATGGTTCCAACACTCAGGAGATACAACCTCAGAACTCAAAATACCTCGCGGTCTACGAAAAGAGACGTATGTGATTCAAGACTGGAGGGGAAGAGCAGGAGAAAGGAGGGTACGCAGCTGCTCATCACAGCAGCTGCGCCCAGCTTTTACACACTTACTGGTTTGCTAGGGTAAACGTTTGAGAGATGCGTTTTTAGTTTCCCCACGGTCCAGTTCAAGAAGCAGCTAATAGTCTGGTCACTGTATTTCTGATTCGGTGCTTTAATGATGAGGGTCACAGGAATCTCCATCCCACTTTGGTCCATGTTGCCCCAAAGTCGGATAGAGTCAAGAGGAGCGGCAGTTAAGCCCAAAAGAGCCGAGGTGGTCACCGCCCGCGCGACTGGGATGCGAAGAGAAATAAGTTCTTAGTATTCCGGGTCCAAGTCAGTCACAAGTGCACTGGGCGATACAAAGGCCATGCTGGTACCAAGGATGGCCCGAGGTGGTGGCGGCGGCGGCGGGGTCTGGGTGCCGGGCCGTGGAGGCAGCTCTGCCCGCCAGGTTCGGGCTCCGCCGGGCTCCGAACTGTGGAGGCAGTCGCGAGGAGGGAGGAAGCGCTGAGAAGGAAGGGTGGGAGGGGTGAGGCCACGACGGCCGGCCCGGGGTCACCGCCCCGCCCCGCCGCGACCCCCAAGCTTAAACGCAACAAGGCCCCTACGCCACGGCCCCGCGGTGCCGGTAGGGGAAGGGGCTTGGCGGCTCAGGGCGGTCAGCCGGGACTGGGGTACCTGAAAGAAGGCCGCGGGGCCAGCCACCGCCGCCCTCCGCGCCCAGGCAGGGCCGCCAGCCACACCGTCCGGCGGGGCGTTCTCCGCGGCAGCCGCTCCCTTCCTGCTGCGCGGCGGCGGGCACGGCGCAGCCCAGGGTCTCGCTAGGCGGCGCGGGTGGCAGTGAGAGAAGTTGGCCGACGGGCGCGGCCCGGCTCTCCGCCTGACCCCTCAGGCTGGACAGCTCAGGGTGGCGCAAAGCAGGGCCGGGCGGGTGCGGCCGAGGCGACTGCAGGTGGCAGGAGGGCGGGGACGAGAGCCGTGGAGCCGGCCGCGGGCGCGCTGGTTTTGTTGTTGCTGTGAGGAAATGCTGGGGCCCCTTTAAGCCGGAACGCGCAGAGCGGAAGTGCGTCACCGGCGGCACGCCCCTACACGTGGCCCTGCCAGTGCTGCCTCCGCCCCCTTCCCGCCCGCCGCGCTCAGGCTGCCCGGCACTCTCGCCGCCCGGTGCTGCGTCGCCCGGCGGCAGCTCAGGCTCCTCGGATCCTGTGCCTCCTGGCCGTTCGCTCGGCCTCGGCCCCAGCTGCCCTAAGGCCTAGCCACTACCTCCACTGGCGCTAGCCTACCCTGTCTCGACCGCACCCTGAAAATTTAGGAAGTCTTTCTCCATCCCAAGAGTCGTCTCTGCAAAAGTTGATGTCCTTCCTGGTGCTGAACCACACTCTGAAAACGTGTTGAGCGTCGTCTGTCTGCAAAGCACGGTGCCAGGAGCTTTGGCAGAGAAGCTGTGGGGTACATGAGTAAGGAATACAGGCTTTTGGTTAAACTTGAAGTCTTCCTCTACTTTCTGGGGGACCCTGGCAGTCCTTGCTGGGCCTCCGTTGACTTCTCTAATGGGGACAGTAATGCCTACCTGACCGCACGCTGATGAGTAAATGAGCTATGAGTGCAAAGCGTGGTGCAGTTCTCGCGTGTGCCAGTCTGTCAAGTGTCAGTTTCCGTCTCATTCCCCTTAATCGTCACAAAAATCGACAAGTATTCATTGAGCTACTGCGTGTTCAGTACTGTGGGAGATGAGGAATGACAGTATTATTTTCTATTTTGTAACTTAGACGTAAGAACGAAAGGTTAAATCTATTGCCCACAGCCAACCTTTCTTCAGTTTCTGCTGAGGTTTAGGAGTCTGTATAGTAAGTTAAGTGTTGTTAGATGTGCATTTTCACAGCTCCCGACTTCCACTAAGGAATAGATAATACAAGGGACATTGCGAGCTGGTCTCTTTCCTTCTTAGCTTGAGAAGGACTTCGAGGTACCTACCACTGAATTTGTGACTGGGGGAAATTCTCCCTCTCAACTGCTAATGCAGCAGCGTCTCTTACACCTCACCCTCCCTTACCTTGCTGTTCATGGTAAAAACACATACCATATATTAGCTGTACTCTATCAACTGCACATCTGAAGTTAAGAGTGAAGTGTCCTTTGTTTCCAGTCATAGAATAACAACTTGCGGTGATACTGGCTTCCTGTAGCAGACTCTTCTTTATCTACCCAGTCACGCTAATGAAACTTTAATTCTAGCCAAAGTTATTTTCTGAGACTCCCTTGCAGCAAGGGGCTGCCATTTGACACACTTGTAGCCAATGAGTTGAGAGCTGAAGTTACTACTGAAGCTTCTAGGAAAGCGTTTAGATGGACAGGCTCTGCGAATCAGAGCTCGTCTTTGCCCTACACCTGTCTTCCTTCCTGGAGGAATGTGAAGAGCCACAGCACGCATAGTTCACTCATGAAGCAACAAACAGGAGAACAATGGCCTGCATGCCAAGGATGGCAGAGCAGAAAAATGTAAAGAGGCTGGGTACTTGATGGCATTGTTGTGCCACCAGACCAGGCCTAGGCTGTCTTACCTAAGACTTCTTGTTTTTGATCCAATTTCTGTTTAAGCCAGAAAGTTTTCACAACTTTCACCACCCAGTTCTGCAGCTGTTGTCACATGCTTGTGACTCAGACTTCTAGGAGTCCTTTAGAAGTGATGTGGCAATGTTGTTTGGCACTATGAAATGTACATTATTAATGAAGGTACCCTAATTATAAATATTAAGACAATGCATTTCACAGTGATGAATACTGTTTAAAAATAAGTCTATGAAAGGTTTGCTAACATAGGGTAAAACATTTAAAATTGTAATAAAGGCTGGGCGCAGTGGCTTGCCTGTAATCCTAGCACTTCAGGAGGCTGAGGCAGGCAGATTGCTTGAGCTCAAAAGTTCAAGACAAGCCTGGGCATCATGGAGAAACCCTGCCTCTACAAAAAATACAAAAATCAGTCAGGCATGGTGGTGCATGCTTGTGGTTCCAGCTACTCTGGAGGCTGAGGTGGGAGGATTGCTTGAACCCAGAAGGCAGAGGTTGCAGTGAGCTGAGACTGCACCGTGCACTCCAGCCTGGGTGTTAGTGAGACTCTGTCTCAAAAAATAATAAAAAGGAAAAACAAAATTGTAATGAACATTCAAGAAATTGAAATATATGAGTACAAAGATGATACTGTATCAGGAAAAAAATGACTTTTTTTAACTTTACAGCCACTTGAATTAAGTACCTGAAAATGCTTTTGATGTTGTTGAACTTGGCCATGATAACAACAGTATGTAAATATCCCACTTTTGTTTAAATATGTGTAAACAGCTGTGTGTACAGAGCAGTGTATGAAAGGATGGTCCCCAGAATATTGATAGTGTTTTACCTGGAATTTGGGCTAGAAAAAATAATTACCAATGAGGAGATACAAGACAGCAGCAGTTACGGAGAGGCTGTCCATGGAGCAGCCTGTTTAAATCACTGTACATGTTAACAGATAAGAACTGGAAATGTCAAAGAACAGTTACCCAGCTCAGTTACCATTTGTTACTAAAGACAGCCCAGGCCAGGCATGGTGGCTCACGCCTGTAATCCCAACACTTTGGGAGGCTGATGCGAGTGGATCACCTGAGGTCAGGAATTTGAGACCAGCCTGGCCAACATGGTGAAACCCATCTTTACTAAAAAATGCAAAAAATTAGCTAGGCGTGGTAGTGCATGCCTGTAATCCCAGCTACTGGGGAGGCTGAGGCAGGAGAATTGCTTGAACCCAGGATACAGAGATAGTAGTGAGCTGAGATTGTGTCACTGCACTCCAGCCTGATCGACAAAGCCAGACTCAGTCTCAAAAGAAAAAAAAGCTGGCCAGGCGTGGTGGCTCACGCCTGTAATCCCAGAACTTTGGGAGGCCGAGGTGGGTGGATCACGAGGTCAAGAGACCGAGACCATCCTAGTCAACATGGTGAAACCCCGTCTCTACTAAAAATACAAAAAATCAGCTGGGCATAGTGGCACATGCCTGTAATCCCAGCTAGTCAGGAGGCAGAGGCAGGAGAATTGCCTGAACCCAGGAGGCGGAGGTTGCGGTGAGCCGAGATTGCGCCATTGCACTCCAGCCTGGGTAACAAGAGCAAAACTCTGTCTCAAAAAAAAAAAAAAAAGAAAAAAAAGCTGATAAAATGAGTATTCTCAAGAGTACCAAGGTAATCGATAAGAAAAGAGCTGTGATCATTAATAATAAATATAATACTTCAACTGAGGAATGGAAAACTAAATATCATATGTTCTCATAAGTCCCTAAGCTATGAAGATGCAAAGGCATAAGAATGGTACAATGGACTTTAGGGACTTGGAGGGAAAGGGTGGGAAGGAGGGAAGGGATAAAAGACTACAAATTAGTTTCAGTGTATACTGCTCGGGTGCTGGGTGCACCAAAATCTTACAAATCACTAAAGAATTTATGTAACTAAATACTACCTTTTCCCAAAAAAAATTATGGAAATAAAAAATTAATACTTCTCTGCTTTAATGATATTAACTATTCAGTACACTAAGTAAGTAGCAATTCAGTGATTTCTGACTGTGAAATCAGTAGCTCTCTTTGTTAACAAAGAAAATGTAAATTTGAAGAAAATTATTTGTAAATAATAAAAATTGATTTCTATGTATTTATGGGATGTTTGTCTACTTCCACTTCTTCTTTGAGGTGGAAAAGAGGATAGCTAGAAAACATATTGCAGCTGGACACGTGGCTTACACCTGTAATCCCAGCATTTTGGGAGGCCGAGGCAAACGGATCGCTTGAGGTCAGGAGTTCGAGACCAACCTGACCAACATGGTGAAACCCTGTCTCTACTAAAAATACTAAAATTAGCTGGGCGTGGTGGCATGCACCTGTAGTCCCAGCTACTCAGGAGGCTGAGGCAGGAGAGTCTCTTGAACCCAAGAGGTGGAGGTTGCAGTGAGCTGAGATCACACCACTGCACTCCAGCCTGGGCAACAGAGTGAGACTCCATCTCAGAAAAAAAAAAAAAAAGAAGAAAACATATTGATTCATTCAGTGAGATACCAGGTTCTTTTAAAAATTCAAAGAAAGTGCTTGTCATTGAGCTTTTCTTACCAAAATTTGGAGAACCTTCCAGGAAGCTAAAGTACTTTTATTATGTTGAATAGTGTAGTTTGAGTTTGTTTGATAGCTCTCTTGGAAGGAAAGACTTCAGTCAAGTGATGCTCTTGCGGTTGCAAGTTTCAGAGATGATGTTGGCCATCTGGCTTCTGAATCCATTCATTTCCACTTTCACCATCCTTGTCATTTTTTTTAAAGAGGCTGTGTCACAAAGCATCTAATCAAATCTTAATCAAGTTTATTGTTTTTAAAAAATGAAAACCTACACTGGAAGCCTAGGAAAATTAGCTCATTTCAACACTGCACTTTAAAAATCGTGATTCATCCCAGATGTTTGATCATAAGTCATCTTGTAGGAAATGAAACAAAATCATTCATTAAATGCCAAATGGGTGTTTTAAATTATGTGTCATCTAATGAATTCTCAGAACAGCCCTGAGAGATAGTGAAGCTCAGAAAGGGTCAAGATCTTACCCAAAAGCACACAGTAAGTTTTAAATAGAGTTCTGTCTCCGGTGTAATGCATGCTCTTTCCAATACACAGAACTTCATTACTTCAAGATAATCATGGGTAACAAGACACATTCAGGAGGAAAAGGCTTTCAGGAACATCTTAGAGGTCATCTAGATCAGTCTTCTAGGTACTGCTAGTGACTTATTTAGGATAGCAATTGGAGAATATTGTAGCTAAACACCATCTCACTGAGGCTGTTTTAGGTGACCAGAGAAGTAGTGGGGGAAAGAGGGCAAATCACTTACATTGTTCACCCTCTGAGAGTTTTTTCCTAAGTGTATATGTTAGTTGTCTATTGCTGTAAAACAAATTGCCTCCAAAACTGTCAGTCAGAAATTTGGGAGCAGCTTAACTGAGAGTTCTGGTTTGAGGCTCTTATGGCATTGCAGTCAAGATTTCAGGGGGCATT